CTCCATGGGTCATTTTGGGCCTGTTGTGCCCTTAGTGCCGTATATATGGAAGAGGCACTTGTTGTGGCTCCATGGGTACAACTATTGGAAGTGGTTGCTACTGCCTTGCTACTTCTTGTCTATTCAAGGTCTCGAATAGCCACTCCAGTGCTTGTCTGGTGTGGCAAAATCCTGCTCTTATCAAGTTTCCCAGGTCATCGATTAATGCCGATACTTGCTAGGAAACCTCCTCTGATCAAAGCCTCGGCTCTGAGTCAAATTCTCGATTTTCTTGTCCCCCCCCCAGGGTGAAGGCAATTCCTCTTATAGGTTAGAAATATCAAACCTACCTTATTCAATTATCTCATGCCCTAGAGGCACATCTGCTAAGCCAACTTTGAATTTTTCCTTAGTATGCGCCATGCTCTTGCAATGGGTCCCACTAGACGTGTCAAAAAATGTATGGCAAATTTTGAATTGTAGGCGTATCAAAGTCCGAGTGGACTTAAGAATTACAAACACTTATGATCTTACATACTTGAACTAGCATGAGGTTCTAAAATTATGATTGTTCAGGTGATTAAAACAAGATGTAACGCTACCTCTAGATTCTTTCATATGCTTTAGAGATTAAAGACTTAAACTATTCCCTCTACGAGCAAACTAACAAACTAAGAGTTGGAACTAAACTAGAATTGGAATGAGCAGTAAAGTAAACAACAAAGAAGAATCTTTGCATTAACTAGTGTAATTGGAATTGAATGGGAAAAGGTCACTAGAGTGACGACAAAAGAATTATAGAGTAAAATAAAAAGCATAAACTTAAAACAGTACAGAGGAAGGCTCTGGTATGTTGTTTGTGTGCGTGTGTTGATTGAGGGATCCTCTTTTGTTTCTTGTACCTCTATATTTATAGGTGGTGGCTTCTAACCATTGTAGCCATCTTTTCTAGCCACTAAACTAGCATTTGTTGCCGTTCTCTTCAATGGCTAAAACGTGCGTCAAAATCGGCTGCAACCGATGGCTCCATGATGTCACATTTTCCATGCCTCTTTGCATTCCGAGATCTTTGGAGATCGTTTCTCATAATCGTCTTATCTCACCTGGACCTTCTTTGACTCAATTCTAGCCGTTGAATTTTGTCGCGTGTCATTCTCAAATTTTTTAATAATTAGGAGTAACAAGGAACATAGCTTATTATGGCCAAATTGTGGCAACTCCACCTAAATCAAGAGATCATGACTACACCAAGACCTAATCCTTACCACTATGTTCGTCCATACATACCACAACGTTTTTTGAGGACTATTGGACTTTATCTATTAATGCATATGACCATACTCATCCCATTGGAGAGAAGTTCTAAAGCTCTACTTGGCCACTGCTATTATTCTCCATTCATTTCTAATGTGCCACCTTGGTGACTATAAGAGAGATGTAGGAGCTTGGGGTCGTTATGCTACCAACTTGAATTACATAGAGACAAAATGGCATATAATTTTACATAATTCAAAGTTTGTCGCTTTGAGTTAAATTCATCGGACGCCACTAAAAAGTTCTACTATACCTAACAAGATTTTAATTAGCTAATATTATTTATTAAAAATTATGTTCATTGGGGGCTCTCATAAGTCATTTTCAATGCAGCTATTGCTCTCACTAGATTGTAATGAACCCTTTTTAGTATTGGAACGATGGACCTAATTCAATATAGTATTCGGATTACATGTGAATTTAAAAGTTAAATAAAATTCAATTTCAATTTAATGACAGTATTAAATTAGGTCACTAAATTAAATTTAATAATAAATTAAGAATAACAATATGGGGCCCAAAGAATTAATTTAATTTGTTGACTCATTGACATTGTCAAATAAAATTATTGTCACTATAACTATGGCATTTCTTTGTTATGACTCTATAACTTAAGTCGAATAGTATTACTCAAAAATTAATCCAATTAATTAGCTATATATAAACAGAAAAAATTAAAAATTTATCCCCATCAAATTAAAAAGTGAAAGGACAACCAAACCCCTATGTTTCATACATGGACAATGTTGCATAGACCTTATTTGTTAGGGCAAATTGCACCAATAGTTCCTGAGGTTTGCCACTTGTTTCACTTTCGTCTTTAAAATTCTAATTTTGTCAATTTCATCCCCAATGTTTATACATTGACTTACTTAGTCCTTACCACTAACTTCCGTCCAAAAAACTAACGGAAAATGTCATGTGCCAAGCACATGAGCGTATTAGGGGACATTTTTGGTATTTTACAACTATTTATACATCCAAACCCAATTATCTTTGGACCTAAACCCCCATCTTCTTCTTCCTTTCTCTTCTCTCTCCTCACACACGCGTAAATTCTTTTGAGTTCTCTCTTCCTCACACATAAACATCTCTCTCTCTCTCTCTCTCTCTCTCTCTCTCTCTCTCTCTCTCTCTCTCTCTCTCTCTATTTACTATGTCTCCACCCCCAAAACTCAACATATTCATTGCTCTCGTCTCCACCACCACACCTAGCGCATCTCTTTCTCTACTCTCTCCACTCTCATTGTTGTGTCTCCACCCCCAAACCCAACACATCTCCCTCTCTCGTCTTTCGTCTCTTTTTAACTGTATCTCCACCCCAAACCCAACACATTTCCCTCGTCGCTCTCTCTTCTCTCGTTACTGCATCTCTATCCTCAAACCCAACACAAAAATCACATCCATAACACAAACCCACAAATNACTCTCATTGTTGCGTCTCCACCCCCAAACCCAACACATCTCCCTCTCTCGTCTTTCGTCTCTTTTTAACTGTATCTCCACCCCAAACCCAACACATTTCCCTCGTCGCTCTCTCTTCTCTCGTTACTGCATCTCTATCCTCAAACCCAACACAAAAATCACAAAATACACATCCATAACACAAACCCACAAATACATATCCATAACACAAAATTCACAGTCACATACACCCACATGGATTTAGAACTGGATTTTCCAAGACCTCCATGGGCAATCAACCCCAATTCTTTCGAAATCAAGTTTGAATNCTTCTCTCGTTACTGCATCTCTATCCTCAAACCCAACACAAAATACACATCCATAACACAAACCCACAAATACACATCCATAACACAAAATTCACAGTCACATACACCCACATGGATTTAGAACTGGATTTTCCAAGACCTCCATGGGCAATCAACCCCAATTCTTTCGAAATCAAGTTTGAATTCAAAATTGAAATCAAAACCAAAAATAAAACAAAAATCAAAGACACTTTTAGGGGCGAAGTGATTGATAATGGGTTAGGGGTAAAATAAAGAAAACTCTTTGAGGGGGAGCCTACTCAGGTGGGTTGATAGAGGTGGCGTCAGGCGTATGAGTTTTGCAATGGTTGTTTAGGTTAGTGTGTGTACTATATTTGTGTGTGAGGCTTTGAAAATGTAAGAGGACAAAGAAAGAGAAGACCAAATAGAGAGAGAAGATNTGAAATAAAAATCAAAGACATTTTTAGGGGCGAAGTGATTGATAATGGGTTAGGGGTAAAATAAAGAAAACTCTTTAAGGGGGAGCCTACTCAGGTGGGTTGATAGAGGTGGTGTCAGGCGTATGAGTTTTGCAATGGTTGTTTAGGTTAGTGTGTGTACTATATTTGTGTGTTAGGCTTTGAAAATGTAAGAGGACAAAGAAAGAGAAGACCAAATAGAGAGAGAAGATGGATTCCAATAATGGAGATTGATTCCAAAGTCGATTACAGCGGTTGTGGGTGGTGGCGGTCGATTCTAGCCGTGGTGGATGGTGGCGGTCGATTCTAGTGATGGAGTCTTGCACACACACACACACGCATAGAGAGAAATGGGGTGGTCACTGGTAGGAGAGAGAGAGAGAGGGCAATATTTTTTTCTCTTTTTGTGAGACTATTTTATTTTCTCATTTATGCCAAACTTNCAATTCTAGCCGTGGTGGATGGTGGCGGTCGATTCTAGTGATGGAGTCTTGCACACACACACACACGCACAGAGAGAAATGGGGTGGTCACTGGTAGGAGAGAGAGAGAGAGAGAGAGGGCAATATTTTTTTCTCTTTTTGTGAGACTATTTTATTTTCTCATTTATGCCAAACTTTTTGAGAGTATAATGACAAAAATATCCCTTAATACTCTCATGTGCTTGACACATGACATTTTTCGTTAATTTTTTGGACGTAAGTTAGGAATAAGCACTAAAGTAAATCACTGTATAAACATTGAAGACGAAATGGAAGAAATTAGAAATTTAGGGACAAAAGTACAATAAGTGATAAACCTCAGAGACCACTAATGTAATTTATCATATTTATTAATTTTATTACTCTCTATCATTAAATTAACATTGACTAATTCATGATANATCTCAGAGACCACCGATGTAATTTATCATATTTATTAATTTTATTACTCTCTATCATTAAATTAACATTGANACCTCAGAGACCACTAATGTAATTTATCATATTTATTAATTTTATTACTCTCTATCATTAAATTAACATTGACTAATTCATGATAGACTCCACTACTAATTAAAATTTATCATCAATTTAATAACTATAATTTATCATATCGTCAAATAAGTTTACTAAATTAGGTATGACATTTTCCTTCGTACATATCACACTAATCTTCTTCTTTTTTGTTCAACAGGAACGTACCACACAAATCAACAAAGCCACTTCTGTGACTTCTCTCTCGTCTATAAGCATCCCCACCCAACCCCTCTCCAAAACCCCAAAAAGGAAAAAAAAACAGTAGCTCTCTGTATTCCTAAGCAACAAACATTATAACCCTTCATAATTCTCCCATTTACCTCCTCTGATGCTAAAACAATGTCTGAACCTCCAAAGCCTATCGCTTCCTCGGCAACAACCAAGATAGATCCCCACCACCACCACCACCACCACTCATCCATGTTTCAACCCCTGCATTTGCCTCTCCTCCACGGGGTCACCACCACCACTGCCACCACCTCAACCTCACACCTCAGAGAATACCGCAAAGGCAACTGGACCATAGAAGAGACGCTAGTCCTCATCACCGCCAAAAAACTCGACGACGAACGCCGAACCAAACCCAGCTCCGCCACATACGACCCTACTCCGTCCTGTGGCCGACCCTCCGGCGAGCTCCGGTGGAAGTGGATTGAGAACTATTGCTGGNAAACTCGACGACGAACGCCGAACCAAACCCAGCTCCGCCACATACGACCCTACTCCGTCCTGTGGCCGACCCTCCGGCGAGCTCCGGTGGAAGTGGATTGAGAACTATTGCTGGAACAATGGATGTTTTCGGAGCCAGAACCAGTGCAATGATAAGTGGGATAATCTTCTCCGAGACTACAAGAAGGTTCTCGACTACGAGCTCCAATCATCACAATCACAATTGGACGGTTCTGATCTTCTGCAATCTTACTGGATCATTGACAAACAAGAACGAAAGAATCGGAATTTGCCCAGCAACATGGCTTTTCAAGTCTATCAATCACTTAAAGAAGTAGTTCAAAAGAAAAATCCACAAAGACCTATTACTCTCCAAGAAGCTACGGTAACTCCTCGTGTGGTACAGCCAGCACCACCACCAGAAGCTCCGCCTTCTGCGGTGGCTCAACCGGCAGTTTCAGGTAAGTGAAAATGCAATAAATTATTGAGGAGTTCATGGCTTCAGTTAGAGCCATAGAGTTAGAGCCATAGAGGAGGAGAGGTAGATAATGTTGGGTGTTGGTCAAACCTGCAGGGTTTGAAAACTGCACACATTTATGACAACCCATTATTCCTGAGGCTACCGTACAGTCAATGGTAGTGAAATTACACATACACCCACATGCATTGACCATGATTGGCATATTTTTTGGTAAATAATATATGATATCTACTATGGGTGAATGAGGATAAAAAAAAAACTATGAGTGAATCATAGTTTTGTATGACAGAGTGTTTTCGGGTTAAGCTCATTTTGCATCTCGAAAGATCGTTTGAGTTTTAATTTGTACCTCCAAAGATTAAAAATTTTAATTTGTACCTCCAAAGATTAAAAATTTTAATTTGTACCTTCAAAGATAGAAATTTATATCAATGTGCACTCCCAAAGATAAAAAATCTCAATTTACACCCTCAAAAATAAAAATTTATATCAATGTGCACCTAAAACTAATTGATAAATTATACCTAGATCCCCTCATGTTTGTCACTTAATCATTTGAACACCTTCACATTTAAAATATTACCCCTACATCTCATGACGTTTGTACATGTGTAACACATAACCACTTTTCATTGATATCTGTTAATATAATCGTTAAAAAATATGATTTTATTCTAATAAAAAATTATAATTTCATATTACCCTTTATTTTGTGGATTCGATATACTCTAAAATTCAAAATCAAACTTATCATTTGAATGTCTAATAGAATGTAGATATTTATATAAAATGTAATATGAAAAAATATTATATAAATATCTACATTTTATTAGACATTCAAATGGTAAGCTTGATTTTGAACTTTAGAATATATTAGACACATAAAATAAAGGGTAATATGAAATTATTATTTTTTATTAGGATAAAATTATATTTTTTAACAGTTATATTAACAGATATCAATNCACATAAAATAAAGGGTAATATGAAATTATTATTTTTTATTATGATAAAATTATATTTTTTAACAGTTATATTAACAGATATCAATGAAAATAGGTTACATGTTATACGTGCACAAATGTCATGAGATGTATGATTAATATTCTAAATGTAAAGAGGTCCAAATGATTAAATGACAAACATTAGGGGATCTAAGTATAATTTATCAATTTAATTTTAGGTGCACATTGATACAAATTTCTATCTTTGAGGGTATAAATTGAGATTTTTAATCTTTGGGGGTGCACATTGATACAAATTTCTATCTTTGAAGGTAAAAATTAAGATTTTTTATCTTTAAGGGTGAAAATTAAGATTCGAATAATTTTTCAATATATAAAATGAGATTAACCGTATTAGTTAGTTCTCTTCATGAAGGCTTTACGCTGCTGGTATGAGATNAAAAATTAAGATTTTTTATCTTTAAGGGTGAAAATTAAGATTCGAATAATTTTTCAATATACAAAATGAGATTAACCGTATTAGTTAGTTCTCTTCATGAAGGCTTTACGCTGCTGGTATGAGATCCGGAGTACTCATTCATTGGAGGGACTTGATTAGGGTAACGAAGTAATAATTTCAATATCGTATATTTAATTTTTATTACTTTAATAGATATTTTTATAATTTTTATAGGTTATTTTATAATTAAAAAAATTATTATTTTTGTGAATGATTTATGATTTTTATAGATATTTTTCCTATTTTTGTAGGTATAGGATATAGCGTACAATGATAAGTCCATGCGAAGTTAATCATGTATGCTTGTGTGTGTAACTACTCTCCCTAATGATAGCTAGTGAACATTTGGACAGTCCCAAGAGGAAAAAAAAGTGATAATAGAAGCTCAGTCCAATTTAAGAGATTGATAAGGCTTAAAGTTCGAGTCATAAGCATATTTATCATTAAATTCTAAATTAGTATTTTTATTTGATAGTTAAGATTATTCTGAGTGTTTTTTTATTATTATTAAAACATTTTTACTGGTTGGTTTTAATGCCATAAGGAGCTTCCTAATTGATTTGAAGAGTAGTTTACAAATAGCTAAGTAGCCCACACACATAGCCAGTACCCAATAAACCAACCCATGGGTCATGGGCTGGCTAAGTCCACGAAGGTATCTTTCAATTGGCCCATCAAATTCTGCGAATTGGTGGCTGGGCTGGCTCGGCTTGGTCCGTGGCCAACCCGAGCAGGGGAATCCTCTATTGGACAGGACCAATGTTGTTTCTCAAAATGAATTGATTGGGCAACCTTGACCAAGGCTTGAACGTTGGTCACCAAAGTTGGAATGCAACTACTATGTTCCCACAATTTGGTTTCTATCCAACGTCAAGGATCTTTCTAATTGTTTTTGTCTTTGAATTTCAGACATTCGCAGGGTCTTGGATACTTTCAAACAACATGAAATGAATGGTTTTTAGATTTAAACAAGGTCTTATACACATTTGTAATTACTTCTATGGATGGGTACGTATCTCATATGTGGCTGTGTGTTCATTTCTTGGTTGCTGAAGCATCAGACTCATCCGAAACAGACATGACCGGAAAGCTCGACTCTGATACAAAACGCCGTCGAGTCCAAGACATCGGATCAAGCATTGTACGTAGCGCTTCAGTATTAGCTCGAACGCTTCGCAACAGTGAGGAGAAGAAAGAGAAGCGACACCGCGATCTAATGGAGCTCGAAGAACGCAGACTTCACATCCAAGAAACACACAACGAAGTGAACCAGCAAGGAATTGCCAGTCTCATAGCAGCAGTAAACAACCTTTCGGGTGCCATTAAGTCCCTCATTTCGGACCAGCAAGACAGCAAATGACACTATTAGAATGTCAACTGCTTATTGAACCTAAAGCAATTCTTTTCACTTAATAATTTTTTTACTTATTCTAGTTGTTTTCTTAGTTTCATTGTGAATTGAACTGCAGTTGTGGAAAAAAGGTTTGCACAGAAATACTTTGGATTCTCTTTTCAATTGGTTGAGGAGATATAGAGAAAGACTACGTGTAACATAGTATCGTACCGAAATTTACATTTTTTGGAAGTTAAGTTATATTTTTTGAGGTAAAATTTGCAATAGGAAAACTCGTCATCAACCTAAATTTCATGATTGATCATAGAAGTGTCACAACCAATCAGAGGTTATTAATGATTGATCATGAAATGGAGTTATTTCAATCGATTATAACTTCATCTCAAAAAATAATAACTATTTTTTTTTTCGGTATCCTAAAATTACCTTTGGTTGAGAACCTACTCAGGTTATATCGTAGTTAAAAGGGCTAATATGTCTTATAACTTACCAGAAAAAAATTGAATACAAGCAGATATTCTATCTAAGTTGAAGTATTTCTATCAGATATCCTATCTGATATGATATTTTGAGGGTATTTATCGAATTAGTATGGTGCGTATCTGATAAGAAATAAATATATGAATATTTTACGAATATTTCTATACAATAAATAGTATATATAAGTTTCAATTTTAATTTTTACCTCTTCATTCGAACTCACACAATATAATACAACAACAAAAATATATATGACTACAAAGGTAAAAGGGTGTTTTTACGTATTATCCACTATCAAATGTCAAAATAATATAAATAACCTAAAATAACTAAAAACTTGATTAACATTGTTGCCCAATTCTATCAACAAAAAAAATGTATGTTTAAAGCTGTTCATTATACTTTCATTCAATAATAAGTCACGCATTGTGTANAGGTAAAAGGGTGTTTTTACGTATTATCCACTATCAAATGTCAAAATAATATAAATGACCTAAAATAACTAAAAACTTGATTAACATTGTTGCCCAATTCTATCAAAAAAAAATTTATGTTTAAAGCTGTTCATTATACTTTCATTCAATAATAAGTCACGCATTGTGTACGTAGGTGAAGGGCAACTTATGAATGGTGTGGGTCCATTGAGCAAAATTAACCTCTCTGATGGGTCAAGCTTAAATGGCCTAATCTATGTGAAAAGTTCAAATTCTAATTGAGGAGTCCAACCTCATAAAAGATCCACCAAGCCTAACATAGTTCAAGACCAATCAGACACTCTGCTTAGTCACGTTATCAAGAGGGAGATCATGGGAGCCTTACCTGCACCGTATAAAGAAACGATCCACCCTCACCTTATCTTTGACCGCATTTCATGGACAGCTCCTCAACCACCTCACCCGTTGAGAAGAAGTCGTGAGCTCCACCAAAATGGTTGCTTAGTTGCTGAAAAATAGCTCCAACTTATTAGGGGACTACTATAAATTGTTGGGGGCATCACTTTTTACCTAAGCACGACTCTCTCCTCTCCCTCAAAACTTGTATTTTCTGCTTCCCACACCCTTGAGTTAATAAAGTCTTGGCGACCAGAGCCATTCAAGAGTGGACGTAGGTCAAGTTGACCGAACCACTATAAATTATTTGTGTCTCTCCATCTCCTTATATTATTTCTTGCATTTATTATTCACACTTGACAGATGGTGTGCAAAATCATTTTGTGCATCATCAGTTTGGCGTCGTGTGTGAGAAAGCGACAAAATTCTCACTGCATTTGCTGAACCAATGACGATCACTACCAAATCTATGAACCAACACGAAGACAATCCACCACGAGAGGAGGAGGTTGCTCCTCTATCTACCAACCCTGTCCCAAATGCTCCAGCTCCAAATCCACAACAAATGCTAGAAACCATGTAGCAGCTGGTGGCCCAAAACCAGCAGATACTGCAACTCATGCTCACTGGACGAAGAGGAGCACAATTTGGAGTTGCATAGCATGGAGAACCCCAAGGAGCTCCACACCCTGCTGCACCATACCTGGGTGGGCTGGGGGCCCTCTTTGGAGTTCCCTTGGGTGCTCCACACAGGGGAGCCCCTCATGAGGAAGTTCCACCTCCTCCTCCTCCCCATGGTGAGAACCCTCATCTTCAGGAGGATGAAGGCGAGAGCCAAAACATGGAGCACAGAAGTCATTTTCATGATCACTCCAAGGGACCCCCCCCAACCATTGGGACGAGAAGATAAAGGAAATGTAAAATCAATTGGGTGACGTCTTCAATGCCATGAAGACGCAAGGACCCAAGACAGTAGACTACCTGGTAAGGCGTACAGACACGCCCTTCAAGCCTGACGTGGCAAACTATCCCCTCCTTCAAAATTTCAAAATGACATCCATGGAGACCTTTGACAGAACAAAAGATCCACTAGACCATCTCGACACCTACAAGACTATGATGCAGCTACACAATGTCCCTGACGAAATCATGTGCAGGGAGTTCCCAACTACATTGAAGGGGTCCGCACGATAATGGTTCGCTAAGCTCCCCCCAGTCTCCATCGCCTCCTTTGCTGAGCTAAGCAGGTCATTCGTATCACATTTCATTGGGGGGTGTCGTCACCAGAAGCCTGTCACCCATCTGCTTAGCATAAAGCAGGACCGGGAAGAGATCTTGAGGAGCTACCTCACTCATTTTAAAGAAGAGGTACTCTAAGTTGATGAGCCTGACGACAAAGTGACGATGACCGCCTTCTTGGGAGGCCTCCGCTCATCAAGTTTCCTCTTCTCAATGATGAAGCGCCCACCAAAGAGCATGCCAGAAATGTTAGTAAAGGCCCAGAAATACATGAATGTTGAGGACATCACAAGGGCCAAACGGGGTGAGTCCTCTAGAACAGCTGGGGGAAAAGAGGAAGGAAAGGGAGACAGAAAATAAGAAGGAGACTAGCAACAAACGTGGCAGAACAGAGAGGGTTGCTATCAAAGACCGACTAGGTCCTGCTCCTCAGAGGGACCGACAAGCCTTCACTCCCCTCAACGTCGCTGTCGGGCACATCCTATTCAAGATCCAGGATGACCCCACCATAAAGTGGCCAGTGAAGATGAAATCTCCTCCAAATCGCAGAAATCCTAACAAGTATTGCCGTTTCCACCGCGACCATGAGCATGACACCAACGATTACTATGACCTCAAAAGATAAATTGAGGAACTCATCTACCGTGGCCACCTACGCCAGTATGTTGCTGGTAGAGAACGAGCACCACCACCTCATAATCAAGAAGACCAGCAGCCCGTTAGGGAGATCCACACCATCTCGGGAGGACTAGCAGGAGGTAGAGAATCACTTTCTGTAATGAAGGCCCACGCTAGAAAGGCAAGGCATCTCGACGAGATGCGCTCATCCAAAGTGCCAAAGTAGGGTGACAACGTGGTCATATCTTTCTCAGAGAAGGACCTAGAGGGAATACAACACTCCCATGACGACCCCCTGGTGCTCACCATGACCGTGGCCAATTTTCAGGTGCGTAGGATCCTAGTGGATAACGGCAGCTCTGCGGATATCCTATTCGCAGAGGCTTATGACAAGCTCAACTTGGGCAGGGAGAGACTGTAGCCTATCAGATCACCCCACATTGGATTCTCAAGGGAAAAAGTATATCCCCTAGGGTCCATTACTCTACTTGTCACAGCTAGAGCAGCGCCCTGGAGCTCCATAGTCATGGTTAATTTCTTGGTCATAGACTGCCCATCAGCCTACAATATCATACTAGGGCAACNCACATTGGATTCTCAAGGAAAAAAGTATATCCCCTAGGGTCTATTACTTTACCTGTCACAGCTGGAGCAGCGCCCTGGAGCTCCATAGTCATGGTCAATTTCTTGGTCATAGACTGCCCATCAGCCTACAATATCATACTAGGGCAACCTGCNCTCATTGGATTCTCAAGGGAAAAAGTATATCCCCTAGGGTCCATTACTCTACTTGTCACAGCTAGAGCAGCGCCCTGGAGCTCCATAGTCATGGTTAATTTCTTGGTCATAGACTGCCCATCAGCCTACAATATCATACTAGGGCAACCTGCTCTTAACACATTAAGAGTTGTGCCCTCCACTTATCACCGCATCCTTCGCTTTCCAACCACGAATGAAGTTGGAGAAGTCAGAGGAGATCAGGTAGCAGTAAGGGAGTGTTATGTCTCCTCTATGAAGACTAGGAAGCCACAGGACGCGTTGTAAGTTGAGGTCATTGATCCGAGGGATGACGCCACTATAGACAGAAGNGGAGTTGGAGAAGTCAGAGGAGATCAGGTAGCAGTAAGGGAGTGTTATGTCTCCTCCATGAAGACCAGGAAGCCACAGGACGCGTTGTAAGTTGAGGTCATTGATCCGAGGGATGACGCCACTATAGACAGAAGAGAACCAGTCGAGGAGCTCACCCCTATGGCCTTGGATGAGGAACACCCAAACAGAAGAGTATACATCGGCTCTTCCCTTCTTAAGGACCTGGTTGGCCCACTAATAGACTTTTTGAGACGTAACATGGACGTCTTTACGTGGTCACATGCAGACCTTGAGGGAATTGACCCAGAAGTGGCCACACGCCGTCTCAATGTAGACTCACGCCACAAGCCTGTTCGCCAAAAGTTAAAGAGCGTCTCCACTGAAAGGGCCCAAGCAATAGACAAAAAGGTGGGAAAGCTAATAGAGAACGAGGCCGTCAGAGAAGTAGCATATCCTGAGTGGCTCTCTAACGTAGTGATGGTCACTAAAACTAATGGAAAATGGCGTCTCTGCGTTGACTTTACAGAACTCAACAAGACGTTCCTGGAAGACAACTACCCGCTGCCACGGATCGACCTCCTCATCGATGCCACCACGAGGCATGAGTTGCTCACTTTCCTGGATGTTTACTCTAGGTATAACCAAATTTGCATGTATCCCCCAGACCAGGAGAAAACATCATTCATCACTCTGAAGGGAACCTATTGTTATAGGATCATGTCCTTCGGACTAAAGAACGCAGAAGTAACC